TTGTAATTAATTTTTAAATATTCCAAAATTTTGTTTCGTTTTATTAAATATATATTTTTAAAGTTATAGCAAAAAAACGCAAGACAGAAAAATTAATTTCTTATAAAAGCATTCATATACATTCATTACAAGTAACAACTGAAGTAATTGGTACAAGTTGCAAGTTTTTGCTTGATTTTCTGATGTACAAAAATACTTATTTTCTTTCGTAATTTATTGTCGTTTACTGAAACTTCTAAATGCTTTAAACTTTATTGCTTAGTATGAAAAATCGCTTGAACTATCTATTTCTAAAGTTACAAAATAATCCTTGAAGTATTACTTGAGAAACTTAAGAAATGTCAAATGTCTTTTTCATTATTGTAGGGTAGTGTATATGCATTCCTATAAGGTATGAATAATTAAATAGACACTTAAATTGTAACAAATTATGAAATGTCAGATATATTTAATACCTTTAATAAATTTTTTTTTGAATTAAAGAACAATAAAAAACGGGAGGTCTTAAAATGCCTGCTTTCTAGTGTTAAATGTTTGTGAAAAATTCTATAGTTAAATTCGGAGAAGTTGAAGCTCATACCATAACGAGGTCGGCACTATAAATGCGAATAAATTAAAGGCTGAATTTATTCTTCTTTTTTAAAAATGATGAGTTAAAACTTTATTATTTCCTTTTAAACTTTATTATAAGATATCTATTCATGTAAAATTTTTTGAATGTTTAAAATGCGAATAAAAAAAGAAAAATAAATAAACTCAAGGGTAAATTAAACGTAATAATTTCTATCTACTTTCTGGGCAAGTTCTGATTGGAGGGTTTAAAAGTGTAAGCCCGATTGGGTATGTCACACTTTTCCCACCTGAAAAAGAATTTCGAGGCATAACGATTGAAAAGTTTGTCATACCCAAGAAATGTCCTGTCTGTTTAATTTAATGCTACACAGCCAACATGTTTACAGGAAATAATTCTTTAAAAAAACTTAAGATAAAAATGTAGATTAAATTTAAGATGTATTTTATTCGAGTGAAAGTTTGCTGATGAACAGAGTCTGGTTGAAAGAATTCTTCCAGACGACGACGATGTTTGCCGGAAATGATGGAGATAATAAATAGGCTGATATTTCACTGATGGTGAGACACATTTCATTTGTGAATCAGCAAACAGTATGAAAAACAATGAAAGAAAGAAAAAAAGAGAGAAAAGATTTAAAAAAAAAGAAGGTTTAAAAGAAGATTTAAAGAAGAAAAGAAGATTTAAATTAAAAGGGAAATTAAAATAAGAAAGTTTAAAAATGAAAAGATGTAATCTCGTCATCTGTACGATTATACTCGTAAAAATAGTGCTTTCTAATATTGGAATAATACAACCAAAACAAAATATACAATAGTGTAAAGAGCACACACACAAATAAATAAATAAAAGAAATGATGATGAGATAAAATTAAACTAAATAATAATTATATTCTTTTTAATGACTGACTTTTTCAATAATTTAAAGGGCAATAATTACATTACTAATGTCTACAATATTTTTCTTCAAGAACTTGTATTCGTTAAGTCATTTGATAATTTTAATCTTTCTTACAAATTCCGCCTTTCTCAAAATTATTAATGATTTTTTCGAGATTAATTTTGAATTTAGTTAAGAAATTTACCAAAGAATAAAGAAAGTGAATTAATTCTTAACAAAAATAGCATTTAAAACTTTTCAGCACATTTTCTACATTTAAATCTTAAAATTAATGAAAATAGAAAATTTTCCTTTAAACTTTTCGACAAAAGAAGAAGTATTTTAACTTTGCACTTACAAGACTATCGATTTTAATTCCAAATTAGCTAATAAGATTTTTTCCAACATAATTTTATCAATCAGTTATTGAAATGATTCTAATTCTAAAGAATATTTGAAAAAGACTAATAGTTTTTTAAAACAGATTAAATTAGAGTAACTATTTTGATTGTTCATTTTTTCAATTTCATCTTAACAAAATTATACTCAATTTAGGATTTAGTTTATTTTATTTCTGATCATGGTATTAGTTCTGATTCATTTTTCGAGGAGAAAACTAATTATGATAAGCTGTTTCTAAGCCACTTCTCAGAATAATTTGGATATATTAATAATGGGTTAATTAATTTATTATGTAAACTATTAGTTTGTAGTAAACCCGTGTAAAGGGGTCACAATACCCCAAAAATGACCAAAATATCGATATTTTTTTATTGCTGATAATAAAACTTCAAACTATTTCCAATGCACTGAAAAAAACTCATCTCTCTATCTACATTTTTAAAAAAGTTATAAATGATTTTAGATTACCCTAAAACAGAAACTTGATCAGCAGACAGACTTTAAAGTGTTCTTTCTCATAGACGATAATTTTGTGTTTTAGTCTAAATTAAATCCCTAAGGAATTTTTTTTATTTAAGATAGAGCTTTGAAGTAAACTTTTTTTATATTAAGTATAATACGCTTGTTTAAACTGTGCATGGAATAAGCATTTTATAAAGAATTTCAATTTTTACAGCATGTTATATATACATAACAGGAATTTTTAACTTTTTATTCTACTTTTTTACAAATTAATCGATAACTAGCTTTCTAATTAATATATCAACAAATGAATGCACAAAATTGCTAAGATGAATATCGTAAGCACAAATTGTTTTAAAAATATGTTAAAATAAAAAAGCCTTAAAGATTTAAAAATTTTGAAATTTTTCAAATTTTTTTAAAATTTTAAAGAAATTAAACAATTTAATTATTTTTTTGAAGATAAATTATTGGTTATAAGTTAAATGAGCATGTAAAGCATCCACAAAATGAATGATTATACCTTTATTTAAAAAAAAATTTCGCAAGGGTACTGCGACGGCCCCTTAAATATTTGTTTTTAAAATTTTAAATTAAATTTAATTGCCCATTATAAAAAAGAGTTCTTTTAGTAAGTATGGGTTGAGGCTCTGATTAATAAACGGACACCCCCGATGACGTTTATTGTTAGGAAAGAACTGTCAACCAATGAAAGGTTTATTCCCCAGTTTGTGTTAGTATATATATATATATATATATATATATATATATATTTATATTTNATGATTTGTAGTAATGTTTATGTATGAACAAAACAAATCGACAAACTCTTCCAAAATTTGATTAAGAATAATGGATGTACTTAAATTCTACTTAATTGAACTTAAATTTAAACAATGTACTTAAATTCTGTATAAAATCATGTTGCTTTGTATGTGCTATTCTTAATGAAAGTATTTACACAAAATTTTTTATTATCGAAATTGATATTTTTACAATGCGCAAATCCTATTCTGGCAAATCAATCCATAGCTAAATTTTTTCTAATATTTGATAAATGTTTTCCTCAATAAATGTTAACTAGTTCTTTAAAAATCATCAAAATTTAAATCACATAGCGAAAATGCTATCTTTTATAAATTGTAAAGCTTTTAATTATCCAGTATAATATGTAATTACCTAGCGCAAATCCAATTTTGGGCCAATCCAAGGTAGCACACAAATCAAATGTGGTTCCATTCTTCAGTAAGAAAGCTCCTTAATATATCCCATTATCCTCTATTTACGTTTTAATTTTATATTTTGAAATTTTGCATAACTGAAATATTTTAAAATCATTTTTGCAAGATGTCAGAAAATAAATGAACTTCTGATCTCGCTACTTGCTTTATATATTACTTTTTGTGTGTTATTTTGTGTTTTTATTAAAATAATTGTTTCATAAATCTTTTTTTTTACTTTTTTTATTCATCTTTAAAAAATATTTTTCCTTCTAATTTCTTTCCCCGCTTTCTTTGTATTTTTATCTTACATTAGGAAAGTGAACTGAATGCGTGTTATTTCTTTAAACAGACATCGAAATCGTCACCAACTTTTCCCAAAATGACCGGCAATTCAATTTTTTAAAATAGGAGAATAAAGTGAATGGCTTAACTGAATTACAATGCGAATCACGTTAAAAGTATTTGTTTTAAAAGTAGAAACCCTTTCATTTCCTTTTAATGAAACGAAATATATTTTAACAAATGAAGTAATTATTGATTTAAATTTAATACAATCTAAGTACTAGTTATAAATTTAATGAAAACAGACAACCCATAAATATGCAGCTACTCCAATTTTATCGTTCTTTTATAGAGTGTTCAAAATGTAAGTAACACAATTCGGAACATTTAATTGTGTTTGTAACCGACCACTTAATATAATAGTTTGCTAAGATTGAATCCCTATTCGTTTAAAGTATTGTAATGTTAAACGCTTTCTGAGGACACTTAAAATTTCCACTGAACTACGAATTATAATGTTAATTTCAAATTAAATACACTTTTTTTTTATCTACTATTACAGTACAAAGTACTTTATTTAACGTTGCATTTTATATTGTAACATAACAGAAGAATTAATTTTTTAAGAAAAATATTTATTCGAACAAAATATTGAAATAGTGCAAATCCGTTTCAATAATAATAATTGGGAAAAAAAGGAAAAAAAAACTACCAATCAAACGCTCTCAGTACACTTTCACTTATAAAAGCATCGAATGAATAAAAAAATGATGAGTGATTATTTATAATGAACTAGAAAATTATTACAAAAGATACATTCAATTCATTCTCATATCGCTTTTAATTAGCTGAATAAATTTGGCATTGAATTTATAAATCAAAAGATAACTTATTAATAATTCATTTATTAATCTCGTTCTTTTAATTATTTGTTACGTTATTTTTCAATAGTTCGATTAAACATAAGTTTAAAAAAACGTTCAAATGAAGTTTGATAAGTAATAATTTAAGTAATTGCCAAACTATTCATCAGATAAATTTTTTTATATAAAGATTTATCTAAATTATTTCCATGAGATCAAAAACTTTTCTCTTAGGACCTAACTTTTAATAAACGGATAACGAACAAATTCTCCCGATTTCACAGACTGATTTAGAATGCTTCAAAAGGTTTGCTTACCGTCGAAATACTTGTACTTGGGATGAGCAAAAGAAATGGACATAATAGCAGCCAAACAGAAGAACACAACGCTAAATCGACACCCAAACATTGTTGAAGGAGCGGATCACAGCATGTGATGCCGTTTAGGCAGATGATTCTTATTTCCCTCCCTCATGGAATGCGGGATTTTCTGCGCATGCTCTTCCTTTTAACACGCGTTAGGTGAATAAAAAGTAAATAAACACTCGTTGGTTGGGGGAGGGGGGAGGGAAGAGGTTAAGGCTGGACATCGCACGTTCTCGATAAGACTCGCGCACACATGATAAGGAGACTTGATAATTAACCAAAATTCCGTACTTTTGGGATGGACAGTATCCTGACCTCCAAAGCAAGTCATGGCGTAAATAACACCCCCGCAGTGCGGGTCGGGGGTGGCGTAGGATGTTTGAGGGAGCCGGATGGAGAAATAATACATTTATAGAGGTGCACAACCTTCGGTACGCTGCAGCACCTAAACACAATAATAAAATAAAAAAACTATTAATTTTTGATGATGCGTGAATTAATAAATCTCTTTTGAAGCTCTTTTTTGTTTATAATTAATGCAAGTAACTTTTCAATCGTGTATTCGGAGGTTGGTTTCTTAAAATCCCGATCGTTTTAATAGGGTATTTATAACGAACTATTGAATCACTTTTGATGTCCTTTATTTAAGTCAATTTTATTGTAAATTCGAGCAATTTTTCTGTTGATTTTCGGCACTATGCATTTTCACACCGTTTTAAAAATCCCGGTGTTTTTAATATGTTTGAATAGGACACTGGACTCGTGCATTTAAATCTGCTCTTTATTATTTGTGCCGCTTTTTCGGAAATATGAGATTTTCTTTTCTTTCAACAATTATTGCAACGCTTTTCCCTAGGGTTTCGGAAATCTTGATATTTTTAAACCGGTATAATAAAAACTTGTGATTTTTGAATCAGTCATTTTAATCATCACTTTTGACGTGCTCTTTATTTGTGCCGATTCACATTCCTCAATCTACGTTATTTCTCTCTCGCTTTTTGGTAGGTGCTATTATTTATTTTCCAGTGTTCTTTTTTTTTAAATCTTGTTATTTTTAATAAAATATTATTACAAAACGCGGCATTCGAATGTAGGTTTTTAAGCTGTTTATCGTTTCTGAACTTGGTTTGATCAAATTTCGACCAGGGAGTTTGAAAACTCTCGCTTCCACTGTGCTAAATCTGATGAGCTCTCTTTTATTATATTACATAGATATGAAAATGCTGATTATGTAAGACAAAGAAAAATTGCTTAATTTTAAAGCTTTTTTCTAATATTTATTTTATTCACGGTATGGGTGATGCTTAGAATTAAATAAATGTAAAATTATTACTTTAACATTAAAATTTATTCCAACATTTCATTTAGAATTTATTTTTTATTGAATGCACTGATTCATATAACTTTCATAAAGAGCTTTCTGTCCTATTTATTCATTCAAAAACATAGGAGAGATTGAAAACCATATGCTTCTTTATTTTGCTGTTATGAAAACTGTTTAAGGGAAAAGTATTTATTAATAATAGGAGCATGAATATAAGTAAAAATTAAGAGTAATAAAAATATATGTATTTGGATTGATTGATAGTATGACATCTAACAATGTCACATAAAGAAAAACTCTAACGAAGGGTGCTAAATCAGGAAATAACCCCATTTAAATAACGTGAGATGAAAATCTCCAAATGAGGTGAAAATCTCCAATTGTAAAAAAAAGAAAAAAATATTTTTCTATTTAAAAAGACATGTCTTAAACTTTATTCCTATTATTCTGCAATAAAAAAGCTAATAAATGCGTGGAAACTCTTAGGTGGTAAATCTGATTTTTATTTTTAATTTAAAACTTTCCCAAGAAGAAAAAAAGCATGCAATTTTTAGAGATTACAAAAATTTTCCATTGTTAATAATAAACTGCTTCATTAAAACTGCTTAATATTAAAGAGCTATTATCAAAAAGGCATCACAATAAGTAGTGTCATGTAATATCATAAAATGCATACATGACATTATTATGGAAAAGTTGGAAAATAAAGTATTCAACGTTACTATTATTGTAAGAAAAAATAGGATTTAAAAATAAAATAGTGAATGCTATTAATTTTAGGAACAATGATAAGTAATAAAAAGCAAAATGTATAAATTATGAAAAAATATATTATCTAAATACATTAAAAAATACACTTTGATGTATTTCTTAGAAATTCCCCTTATTAAATTTACTCTTAAATGCATATTTATTGCACAAAAGTGTAATCAAAATTACTATTACTAGGCTTGAATTAAAAACAAAATATTAAAACAACGTAACCAATTATTGATCGACCAATATTATACAATTATTGATCGACCAATTACGCCAAAACTTCTACGTAAAATCACTGTCCATTTCTTGTAAGATGAAAAAGATTATTTCTTAAACAATCGTTAATAATGTAGATGGAAATATTATTTATGATAGATTGCAATATTTATTTTAAGATAATAAATATTTTACCATCTTTTTGATTCTACATTGAGCTAAATATGATATTTGAGCGTATGAGAAAGTATGTATCAATAAAAATAAATTCAAATAACAAATAAGTTATCTATTATTTGCAACAATTTTTACATTTACTAAAGCTATAAAGTTTCTTATTGCTAAAAAGTTTCTAATAAAGTTTCTACATCCTTTTATAATTGACATTAGAATGTTAATTTCTTACAACAAACCACTTCCACCCTACGTTATTCGAATGGAGGATTTTCCAAAATAACCTTCGGTGGTAAACTTTTCTTAATTTTAAAGTCTAATTTTTCTTGAATTTTAAAGGGATAACAGGTGCTTCATTAAAAGTAGAAATGTAGACTTTTCCATTTTATCCTGGACACAAAAATCGATTAAAAAAAAACGAAAAAAAAAAAAAAAAAACGGTATGGTCACTCGAAAAATATGTATGGCATAGTTTCTTTTAATTATTACCTTTTTTTAAAAAAAAAACATGAAACGAATTGCAGTGATTGGTTCACCATTTGAGGGCGAACCAATCATGAACCTAAATAAAGAACTAAGAGGGCTCTTATAATTTGCTAATTGTTTTGAATGTTAATTAATAAATATTTTTGCTGTTATTACTTTATTAAATTTACTTCAAACGCAATAATGCTCGTCACATTGAAACCAATTATATTTTAAAAGACATTCTCGGTATTACCTGGTTTACGTTAAATCAGAATTCGCAATAAACGAGTTCTACTCCTTATTTTAATTATTTTTTTGCACTTGATTACAAATATTGTTCCGTAATTTAGCGTAATTGACGTGTTTATTCCTCCTTTTCCAAAAAGCTCTTTTCTTTGTCTTCAAAATACCGATTTTTGGAGCATTTTAAATCTTTAAATATTTGATTCGTTTTTTACCAATTTAACAGTGTGTAATTTAATAAAGAGAAAATGAATGCTTCCAACGTTATCCTTTTTGTTTACTCACATAAAAATCGTATATTTTGCCGATTGCAGCATGTTTGTAATGCTGAATGATGTTTGTAAATATTTCCTTGTATCGTGGCTACATACTTGCTTTATTTTTTCTTTTTTTCTCCTAGTGGCTTTATTATTATCTTGAATCTCTTCTGCTTCGCTGCAAATTGTTTGGAAACTATTTTTCTTGGTTCGAAAAATATTTTTAAATAAAATTTTGTAGAAAGAAATAGATATTTATTGTTTGTTTAATTTTTGTAGCAAAAAACAGATTTTCCCTTCTATTTTTCTACTATTCAGATGAAAAAACTATTTCGCGAACATTCTTAGCAATATTATTTGTTAATGTTATAAGAAAATACCAATCTTAAGTTTTTAGTTTAAAATAATTTTATTATTTCTTATTTTAGCTTAAAATTATGTTGCCTTCCAGACGAATTCAGAAATTCCTTTGTCAGATTCTTCAATATATTTCACAACTCGATTATTTATTCTCGCAGGAGAGATAAAGAAGAATTTTCTTGAAGTAATATTTCGATATCTAATTACACGATTTACTATGAAGAGAAATTTGAAAAGTCTGTTTCTGCAATTTCAAATATATTTTATATTTCTGCAATTTCAAATATATTTCAAATATAAATACAGTTTTCCTTTAAATTATTACCAAACTAAAATAATGTCAATATATGCAGTGCAAATATCTAACTTTACAAGCTATGAACTTTTATTATTTGTCAAAGGTGTGTTGTTACTATTTGTTGCAAGTAATTGTGAAAAACATCTGTCCAGGATTCTGCTAGATCAAACATGCAATAAGAAGAAAAAAAAGGCAAAGAACGAAATAAAAAAAGAAAGAAAAAAAGTTTCAAAGAAAATAAAAAAAAGTAAAAATAATAAAAATTATTAAAAATTAAAAAAAAAAATAATTTTTGAAAAAGATAACAACAAAACTGATTGTATCCTAAAAATAATGCTTTCTAATATTGTATTAATATAACTAAAGCAAAAAAAAAAAAAAAAGTACAGAAATGTGAGGAGCACCATAAAAAAAGAAAGAAAAAAACCGATCCTCAATAAAAGTTTTATCAAGTAAAAATCACGAAAAATTCAATAAAATACAAAATAAAACACAAATAGGAATATATCAGAATATAAAAGCGAGAACGATTGCTTAAGAATAACTTGCCAAATTGATTTAAAAATATTTTCGTAATTAGGTGGTCAGATAACAAAATACGAAATGAAAGCGTCCCGCAGTGGACTGATCGTTAAGACACGGTTCTGTTCTCAGCAGATCACCGAAATCAAGCATCACTGGCTACGGTCAGTGTGCTGGTGGGTGACCACTTTGATCAGCCTGCGTAGGGACCGAGGGTGTGCGGTATTGGTCCTCGTTAAACTGTTCTGCCGTAAAGTGCTCGACTTCGCGTGCAGGTCGTCGGGCTACCGAAGCGGGGGTGCCATCCCCTCTGCAGAGGATCAAAATTGTGATGGCATGTCTTCGGATCATCCTCAGGGATGTTTCCCAGACCGTCGCCCATTGTGCAGCTCTAGTGCGACGCAAATGAACAACAACAACAACACAAAGAGCCATAAAAAGTCAAGATGAACCAGATAAGGCCAGATAAAGATTATTTTCTGAAGTTAATGGGCAATAATTCGTAGATGAAGTA